GGTGGCAAGAGCAAAGGGACTTTCACACATAATAAACCATAAAGATGGGTCTGATTGGTTACAAAACCGCAATTTGGACGGCATGAACATCAGACATTGTGCAAGGTTTTTAAGCCAAAAATAAAAGCAAAAATTTAAAGAAAATGAAATTAAATGATAAGTAGAAATCAGAATTATAAAATGAATCTATAATTACTACTCATCTGTGATTCGGAGGACGAAAACCGATGTAATCCATTACTTCTGGTTTGGAGATCTTGAGTGATGGCTTGTAGTCAAAACCGAAAGTGCTTGCATACGATTTAACACAGTCCGGGTTACCATTATGGTGATTTCCTGTTGTTTTTACCACCAATCCTCGAATTCCATATCACAGATTTATATTCCTACTGCATTGATATAAATATTAACGAGACATAGTGCACAATAAAAATTAAGCTTTATTTCGGAACTTCGCGCACACTGCCGACAGCTGCCTGTTTCGCTCTGCTCGCTACTCGTAAGAAACTTCTCCTGTAGGGTTGCCACACTTATCGGAGGGCGCAAGGCGCGCTCCTTATCGCCATCACCACAGTCTCATTAACTCTGCACCAGGAGGGAGTAGCTAGCTTTCACTTGTTCACCTAATTACTCTAGATACAATGATAATTACTGAGAAATTTTAATTTTCTCATAAGAATCATTTTAGTTTTCTCATAAGAAGTGAATTTACCTTAACTTATACAGTTATATTTAGTCTTCATGAAAGTATTCTTATGGTATGTAAAATAATCCAATTCCAATTTTAAACTATGGAATGGGAAGTGGTATGGAAAACTAGTCCTACACAAGAATTTATTATGGAACATGAACAAGCAATCTCTTCTATCATTTTATGACAGTGTGGTCATTAGTTGTCCCTGTTGCAAGTCTATAATCTCAATTGCTTGTCTATTATGTGTTTGGGGTAATATAATTTTCAAAAAACACAAAAATAATGACAAAAGGTAGATCTAGTCAACATGTTCACATTTGTGCACATGTTGACATTATATCCATTATTCTAAAGTTGAATATTATATAAATTCAAAAGGATTAATGATCTGTAAAATAAGAAATAATATGTTTGGTTGGTCTTGTGCTCTTTTTAAGATAAAGTTTTTTAACTAGTTATTTTTTTTTGGCATCCATCAGGTCAAAGAATTATTTATTTATTATGTTAAAATCAAGATAATTTTGATTCCTTTCTTTATCTAATTTTCATAATTTGTCAGAGTAATTTAACATTATTGTATTCACCAGTCTAGATATTTATTCAAAGCACAAAACTCCTATCATGACAGTCACCTCCTTAAAATGGTCACTTCTGAAAGTGACTAGTATCTTTGGGACCATTAAAAAAAAAAAAAAAAAAAATACTAATACAAAATTCACTTCATTAAGATGACCACCACCGCTATTTGTCGGCAGTCATATTAGATAGGCTTATAATTTCTTTTAAGTCCCCTTCAAAATAAACATTGGCATACCACTGAATATAAGAATATTAGATCTTGTCTCAGATTTAAAAAAATGAAGATATATGAATTTAGAGCTGATAGCATTTGATTTATTGAAGATATCAACTGATATTGCAAAACTAACATATGTTATCTTCTTATATTATCCTTGATGGTAATTATAAGCAAAAGGTTACCTGTCTTTTTCTATTTTAATTCAATAGGATTTGGAAGACACTGCAGAAACCTGCAAACGCAAAATGATTGCAGCGGAAACTCTGATTGCAGGTTTGCAGGGAGAGAAAGAAAGATGGACAGAAGATAGTAAACGTTTTCAGAGTCAGATCAATAGGCATGTATTGATTTCAGTTTATTATATCAGGAGATAACAAACTCTTTCAAGATCTAGAAATAGATTTCATGGGAAAATTATTGGCATTTCATTAAGAGACTTTTCTCTATGTAGTAAATTTTTTCATTAGGAATTTTGTGGGGAAAAATGTTAAAAATATTACTTTTCTATTTTTTAATTTCTTCTCACTTCTTATTGTTAGAAATACATGAGAGGATTCCATATTCTTCAGTGTGAAACTTCATTTGCATTAATTGGTTTATTAAGTGTTAACATAATGCTTAACAGTTGTTCAACATATCTTTGTTTCACCTTAATAAATTATATATATATATATATATATAATATCTATCTGTAATCTAATTTTTAAAGGAGAAAACACCACACACAGTTTATTAAGGTTTTTCACCTTAATAAGTTATATATATATATAAGCATCAGCAGTCTAATTTTGAAAGGAAAAACTAAAATGGTTTTTTTTTTTTTTTTTTTTTTTTTTTTTTTAAGAATTTCAGATCATTTTGTTCCTCTATCTCTCTCTCTCTTTTTTTAAAGCGAATCAATATAATTTGGAGATCTAATTTTATGCTGCCCATATGGGATAATTGTTAGTGATGGTGACTGCCATACTGAAAGGACCAGGTTCAAATCTTGGGCGTTTGTAAATGTATCAAAATCACTCAAATATAGATTGCGAGCTGAATATCTTTGTGAGTGGTTTGGTGGTTGGGCAAGAGGAATGGAAGACTCTTCAAACCATTCCTCAGGCTTCTTTCCTTCAAAATTGGGACAAAATTGAACAAAGTCATACTATCACCTGTATTGTGCTCAAAGTTCATGCCAACAATATATGCAGGCTTGTGTTGTTGTTGCTTATCCTCGAAAGATGATCAGCTCCAGAAGGTTGTTGACCATCAAAAAATCAATAACAGTGAGGGGATCGGATGTTAAGTCCTCCTTAGAAAGTCTGCAACCCAGTATGTGATCCGGTGAAGCTGGATGGTCAAGCATTTTTTACAAGTGGGATGGATTTTTCTGCCACTATCAAAGTAAAGACATTTAAGGTGGTCACTTGTTAGTCTAGTCAGAGCAGTCTGGGAGCCACGGTCACATTTGATTTCCAGTAGCGAGCCAGGGGATGTTCCTGTGTACCATTGGTGCATAGGATGCAGGCTTCTACTCCTTGCTATGATAAAATTTATGGACTTGTTCTTGTATGTCAGATAAGGGAGATTAGAAACAACAATTTTATTAATTATGATAAAATTTTGTTTCAGTATTTAAATTTTTTTTTAAACAGAAAATTAAGATATTTTTCATCTCTTTTACTAGACTTGTTGGCGATGCTCTTTTGTTGACTGGTTTTCTATCTTATGCTGGCCCCTTTAATCAAGAATTCCGCAATATTCTTCTAAATTTCTGGCAGCTTGATAACAGAAAAATTCCGTACACTGAAGATCTAAGTATAATTAATTCATTAACTGATGCACCCACGGTAAGACATACTGTTTATTTAATGCAATGTTTCTTAGTTAAAAATTATTGTTGTATTCTATCAATACTGGTATATAATTTGTAAACAAGAATGTACCCCAAAATCAGTGGAATATTAGCTTTAAAGCTGTTATGCTACTACAAAACTTTGTAATTGGCATCCTTTTTAATTCGATTTGATTTAAAAATTGAATATTTTTCCTTACAGATTGCTGATTGGGGAGTTCAGGGTTTGCCCAATGATGAACTTTCTCTTCAAAATGGCATAATAGTTACTAAATCTGAAAGATATCCATTACTTATTGATCCCCAAGGTCAAGGCAAGGCATGGATTGTTAAAAAAGAAACAAAAAACGGCTTAATAGTAATTACTAATGTTCTTATTTATTACTTAAGTTTTATTTTATTATGTCTCTAAGAATATATGAATATTAACATTTTTGCATTTTTTCATTCTAACATTCTAAAAGGATTAATGATCTGTAAAATAAGAGGTAATCTATTTCACTGGTCTTGTGCTCTTTTTGAGATAACTTTTTTTAACTAGTTATTTTTTGATAATATAAACACTATTTTTAATAATAGTTCAAAGAGCTTGATAATGAAAATGGGAATGATAAAGATGTTATGTGTAATTAGATGTACTGTGTTTCATCTTTTGTTGTAATAGTCCTCTACTCCACCCATTTGTGCTTGCGTAGCATTTATATAAAGTTTCACACTGTTATTGGATTTAAAGTGAAGTTCAAAAAGCACCTGAAATTTATAGCAGACTGTGTGCTATCTATGAGGAAAGCTGAAAGAAAAACAATTCCATGTTAATATGGTACCTGAGTTATCTGTGATGAGAAAATCATGGATGAAAATCTTCATTATCATTAAAACTTATGGCTGTTACAGCTTGCAGCATCCATATGTGAAGATAATGAAATAAAAGAATGTTCAAAGCTTGGATTCTTCATTGGCATACTAGCCCAGCCCTCATGCTTTGTAACCAGCTTTAAATATGTTTGTATGTATAACATTTTATATTATTATTATTTTTTTTTCTGAGTGTGGTATCTCTCATTTTATTATGTACTTCTTGCCTGCTGTGTTCCTACCTCATTTAAACTGCATTTGTGTATTCTAAACACTTACTTTGTGAAATTCATGTAATTTTTCTGAGTTCTAATTTCTGGATAAAAATTGTGAGTTATGTTTTTCACATATATTCACCAGCTTATTCAGCTTCCAATTAGCTGTTCTTTACTTACTGAAAATTATAATTACACATTAACTATTGTGTGATATAAGTTTGCTAATGTTTTGCAAACTTGTGTGAAATGAGCTCTTCCTCTAATTTGTATCATACTTTTATCTTAAAAATATGAGACATTTAATAATTAGAAAATTAATTATTGACTTTGATGGAAGTTAGACCTCATGTCTGAGTATTGTGATGCTACACCAATATATTGCATCTACTGTGGTAACCGGTAAAGTCTATGAAATTATGCAAAGAGGTTGGCTCAGTGGAAAATGTATACAACAGCTGATGATGCACTATGGCAAAGGTTTTAATTGTTAAGTTAACTAACTATATGGACAAATAACATTAGTTTGCATTAAAGTTTTACATATATTATTTTTTTTCAATCTCATTTTGAATCCTCAGTCTTTGGAACTTGTTAATGTTGTTTGTGGTTTAAAATGTTACTACTTAGCCTAAGGTATCTACATCTTGATTTTTCATATTTTTTTTTTTTTTTTTTTCTAAATAGGATATTTAACATATTCCACATTATTATTTCGTAAAATTTGTTTGCACAATATTATTTAATTTTAATTTAATAATCTGTTTTCTCTTCCTTTTGTGTACCAGGTTTCAAACTTAAATCACAAATTCTTCCGTCAGTTTTTTGAAGATTCTTTGTCACAAGGACTTCCTTTATTAATTGAAGATGTTGGAGAAGAACTCGATCCAGTCTTAGATAATGTTCTTGATAAAAACTTTGTAAAGTCTGGCAGTATACTTAAAGTTGGTATTTGATAATTTACATGTAAGTTTTAAAACTTTCTTCAAAACAAATATTTTTAATTCAATCCTTTCTCAATTTCTGTCATTTCAGGTAAAAATAGGTGACAAAGATGTTGATTTTTTAAAATCTTTTAAACTTTATATTACAACAAAGCTTCCTAATCCAACATATGCTCCTGAGGTGAGATTACAAAAAACTGTTTCATACTTAATCTGTGTATTTCTTATTATTCATTATTTATATATATATTTTTCCTATTTTTAATCAGGTGTCAGCTCGAACTTCTGTTATTGATTTTACTGTCACTATGAAAGGTCTTGAAGATCAACTCCTCGGCCGTGTTATTTTAGCAGAGAAACAAGTACATTATAATTCTTTGCTCTTATTTTTGTGAACTTTCCTTTACTAGTTTTCATTCAGATGAAAAGCAATAAGTAATTAAATTAGGAGAGCTAAAAATATTTGCAATTTGCTTTAAAATAAGTTTAAATAATTTAGATTAAAATGTTATAAAAGTATTCTAATATACAATTATACTGGAACTTCAGATCACAAATGCCTTATTTCATGAATAAATTATCTGATCAAAAAACACCTTGGATGATGAATAGTGTTTCGAGTTACAAACACTCAACTTAAAAAAAGATTATCACATAGAATGTATGTGATTACGATTTTCAAATAGAATTTTATCACATAGAATACATATGATTACGATTTACGATTTTTAACATACAAATTTCAAAGGTGTTTTGAGGTAATCTATGCCACATAATTAACACTCGGGGATTTCTGGAAACATTATTTTAATATTTTCCATTACTTAATTCTCATTATGAAAGCCTGGTAGTGAGGGATTTACAGGACCATAAATTCAACTTTGAGACAACTACAGCCAGAATGGATTACAGCAAAGACTTTAAACACTGAAACTTTTTTTCATTATTATTATCTCTGATATTGTATCTTAGGCAAAAATGTGAGTTAAGAAGTTAAAAAAGGAGAAACAGTAACATGGAAATGTTATGTTACTAGAGGACTGTAAAGATAAGCACAACAAGAAAGAATTACAACTTGAGTGAAAGGTGATTATGGCAGGAATGTCTTCAGCAGGCAAGAAAGAGAGGGGGAAGATCCTAGTTTATCTGATCCATGAAATTCATACAAAATGGAGACATCATCCTCATGAAGCAGTAGCAAGTTGCAGGATAAGCATTTTGAATGACAGTGCCATGTCTGACTTAAAAAACATTTTAAAATGTAGGAAACAACAAATAATATTGGATAAATTTGAATAAAACAGAATCCCAGCAAGTTTCAAGCAGACTTGATTAATGCATAGAGACAAAGAAAAATAAAAGAAAATGCCCTTTTTCCAAAGATTGTTATTTGTTATTTTTCTGGAAAAAAATCTCACATTTAAAGAAAAATATCTTCCTCACCATTTTCCACTTGCAATCTGCTCTCCTTTGTATAATTACAATAATTTTTTTTAATTTTATTTTGTCTATTTAATATTACGTTTATCTTTTTGTTTTATATTCACTGATTTCTATTGGTTTGGGGTTATAAACTTGTGCTCAAAGTATTTTAGTAAAGTTTAAATGAGCAAATTCCAGGAATGATTTAATCCATTTTACATTTATTCCTACGGAGAAAATTGTTTTGGTTTACAAATATTTAAGTTGACAAATGACCTTCAGGGAGAACTTAAATTCGTAAACTGAGGTTTCACTGTAATTGGAACCTATGAGTCATTTATGAGGACATTTTCATGCTTTATTCTATATATAATACTTAAATGTACTTAATGTCTGTAAATGTGAGTAAAAAATTAGTTGCATTTTTAGCTTCTTATTTCCCACTACTAACCCAACTTCATCTAGAAGAGCGAGGAATGTGAACCATTGGACTTATTATACAAAATGAATTTAAGTACTTATTACAAAGCAAATCTAAAAGCCGATGTGACCATAAATGGCACAAAAGCGAAGAAGAGCGCTAAAACATTCTTATATTAAATCTGCCTTCATGTTGAAGTGAAGTGAAGGTATCATAACTTAAGCAATATGAAGCAAAGTTTTTTTTTATTATTGTTATTGCATTTGCTATGCTTGCCATTATATTTTAAATTTGCAGTTAGTCATAAATTAATTAATTTTATTTGTTATTAATTTTATTTTCATCAAGCTATTTTGATAAATAAAACTTTTCTTTCCTTTTTCAGAGTTTTCAGCAAAAAAATTTAAGAAATTACAAAATAAAGTAAAATTAGACTAAAAAAACTTAAAATTTGGAATATCTAATTAAATATTAATATAATTTATATTAAAATAATACTATAATTCAATAACACATATCATACATTATGCAATAACCTTAGTCATGTGTTTAATCAATTTGGCATTCTTTAGAAATCACATCTCTGATTGTTTTTTTCACTATCCCCCCGTGCTGAAACCACATACCTCTGAATGTAAGACTAGATATTTGTCTTATTTGTCTACTGGATGATCTAACACTGGGGAATGTAATACTGTAAGGTTAAGATCAGTATTTATTATGGTGTACAAAAATAAGAAAAGGATGATTCTGTCTGTATTAAATAAAAGGCAAATAGTCACTGCCAGATCCCATTATCACAATATCTCTAAAACAATAAGGCTAACTGATGGTTCATGATCATCAGTAATTCATATTCATCAAAGTTTTTTTAGTACTGACAAAATAATGCAACAATGTGGAATACATAGGAAACACAAAATAATGCAACAATGTGGAAACATCATTGAGCACATAAGCATGAAAATTGAACCATTAAGAAGTAGAAGAGTATTAACTGGACCAACAAAATTTCTGTTGTATTAATTATAAATATAGCAATTATTTGTAAAAGATGCGGTAACTCCAGACATTGTATTTATAAATAGTTTAAAACAAGAAGGGAAAATTAAATAATGAAATTTAATATTTTTCTAATAAAATAGATAATAGTATTTATTCTATGTATTGAATACTAGAAATTTAGAATCTCTTCAGAAAAAAAAAAAATGTTTGAGGGGGATCATTAAAGACAGTTTTCCTAGATCAAGAAAAAATACTCAAAAGATAGTGCTGTCAAAGAATCTGAAAGAGAAAGTCTTAGCATATGTAGCTTGCATCCTTGCAAGATTTACATGGTAATTCATTAAGACTTATTGATGGTAAACAGAGAATCTTGTGAAAATATTTGAGCATAGTAAACCTACTGATGTCCAAGTAATGTTGTGTCTCTGCATTTTAATGTTAATCTTCTTCATCAAATTCAGTTATGCAAAGTAAGAAAGAGGCTTAAATTATAGGCTTAGATGTCTTGTGAATTCTTAGAAAATTAAGAGTCACAAAATGTGGGCCTTTTATTTTTTATTTTTTTTCCTTGTATTAATTTAAATTCTTACTTTAAATTGTATTAGGAATTAGAAGCAGAAAGAGTTGCACTGATGGAAAATGTTGCTTCAAACAAAAGAAAAACAAAGGAATTAGAAGATAATTTACTTCACAAGCTTGCTACAACTGAAGTATAAATAAATTTTTAGATATTTTAATAATTATAATTTTGCTGTTGCTTTTATGGCTAATATTAAATTTATTCTTGCATTGATTAATACTTTTCAATATAAGAATAAACATAGTCATGGTCTTTTGAAATTATTTTTATTTATCTGAAATGCTTTAGCAGACATTCTTCAATTACAGGGTTCTTTAGTTGACGATGAATCTCTTATCGAAGTACTAAAAACTACTAAAGAAACAGCTGCAGATGTAGCTAAACAATTAGATATTGCAGATACCACAAATAAAATGATTAATACAGCAAGAGAAGAATACAGACCTGGTATAGTACAATTTTGGATACAAAAAAAAAAAAAAAAAAAACCTTTTTTTTTACTGTAATAATAAATTTCTCATAATTTTGATTTATTTATCTCTCAGGTGATCATCCATTAAGATATCATTTAATAATATGTAATTGCTTATATTTTTAATAAAATTAGCAAAATTCAATGCTTTCCAGTTTTTTTAAAAGCTTTTCTGCATTGATAAAATTTTAAAAAGAATTTGCTGTTGTTTCCTATTTTGTTCTTTTTTACTCATGTCTATTAATTTTAATTACAGTAAAACTTGTGTTGTCCTCTTGTATGTAATTGTAGTTTATGGCACCAAATGAAAAAAAAATCAGTAGCCTGTTGAACATTTACCACGAATGGCCAAACTTACCAATTATTTATCTGTCTCATCACCAAGAATATTGGGTTGGAGATATTACATCTCAAAGAACAGGAAAAGAAAGCAATGCAGTTATAGTTGAGTCTTACATGGGAGTTTACTAAGTTTGAGCTAGTGTTAGCCTTCCCTAATCATTATCTGTTGCCAAATAAATGTTTTGTCAAAAGTCATTAAAATTGCCCCATACCTAAAGATTAAACTTATGTTAGATTAAACTTAGTTGAGCAAGATCACAATACAGCAAAAGTTTGGTCATCCTACATATTCAGAATTTACTGATGTCAAATTATTGGACTAAAATTGTGTAATGCAACAAAACATTTTTTATTGTTATTGTAATATGGAATTGATTAAAATGGAATATGGACATGGATAAAATTGCACAAAGTAATCCTGTAAACCTATTTATTGAGTAAAATTTATTTTTTGTAGTGAATTTATTCATACTTTAATTATGTTTTATAGCTTTTGCTTTCAAATCATCAGTGTTGCCAGTGCATGATGTTTTTCAAATAAAATTGTTCATTCTCTTCATAGATTCCCTTTTTTATCCAAAAAAAAAAAAAAATTTCCATTGAATAGGAGTATTTATCTCCAATATTATATCTGTTATTTTTTGGTGAATTTTACAAATGTATTTAATGCTTCACTAACCTCATGTCCCAGCACTGGTAGGATCTTTATTTATTTTCATTTATTTTGCTATGTGTAGATTCTGTATAGTTTGAGTTTTGATGTTGTGACTTATTTCTTTCACAATTGATTCAATTTTGTTTCTTCCAATTGATTCAATAATTTTGCTCTCTGAAAGCATGATTAATAAATAATTTGAAGGAAGACATTCTATTGTTTTCAGTAACTCACAGTGGTTGATCAATATTTTCTCCTGTGTTAGAATTTTGCCTCATGGCATTTGGCCTTAATTTTTACTAAGTGTTTTCTATATTGTATTCTTTACATGTTGTTTAGTGTAACATTTTTCTGTAGTATTTAACAATGTAACAGATGAACTTAGTAAAAGTTAAAACTTTATTCTCAATTCATGAAGATAGATAGATAATTTAAATATAATTTTATCCATTACAGCTTCACACTCCAGCTTACTGTTACAGTTTCCCTATAAATTTTCATACATTGGCTAACTGGTAAATCTTTCAGAATAATAAATTTAAACATTTCTGATGTTGCTCAGCTATGGTTACATGAAACAAATATGGCATTGCCACTCCAATATCAAAGATAATAAATATAATTATTTGTTAAATAATAAAATATTACACCAGCCATGAAAATTGCATTGCATATTGGATAGAGCTTGACAGTCTGATGTTGCAATCAAAGTTTAATACACTTTGCAAATCCCTATACTTACATTTAAACTCCTTGACCTTAAAGTTATATTTATATTATATAGTGAATTTTTAAAACCACGTGTTTTTGTTTTATTTTATTATCAAATTTTGAAAATATTTTAAATAAATAATTGCAAAGACAGCACACAATATACAGTCAAAAGTCTTTAATCCGGACTCGTCGGGACTTCGGTGATTCCGGATTATAGATCATCAGTTTAAATCTGATAAGATGGCATGCAGAAATTAAAAATTAAAAAATGAAACCGGAATTTATGAAATAAAGAACAATTATGATCTAAAGAGTATCAAAGTTTACAAAAAAAAGCTTTATATTTATTTGTTTACTCTTTATTAAACATTTCTTTCAACGCGCGCATGCGTAAAGCATATATTGCGCATAGTCGAAATTAGAAAATTGCAACCAGAAAACTATTTGATGTGTATTCGTGATATTTATAATGACGAGGAATTTTATTTAAATCATATCAAAGACAGAGTACATCGAGATGAAATACTACATTTAGTAAGGAATTATAAGCCGAATAAAATAAAAAATCTGCCTCTGCCCTGAAGATAAGGATAGTGCTGACAGATCAATTTCCAGTTCATTGCGCGCTGCGTCGTCCCCCACCCCCTGCAGAGCAGCCTGAAACTGATAAACATATTTCGGAATGATTAGAGAATCAAATCTTTATCCATTTTTTGCAGCAATTCCACTTTTTGTTTGACGGACATTGAAACATGCTTTCGCTTTGTAGATCCTTTGGCAGCTCCAGAATCGGAAATTCTTTTTGACATAATCGAAAGTTCAAGCTTTACTTTTATAAAATTGCTCTAACAGTCTGCGAAAAATAATAAGCCGGATCCAATTAGAAGATTAAGGAACAATGCAATCTGCAACATTAACTGAAATAGATAATTGGATCATTTTAGTTTAGCTTATACCGTCCGTAATAAATTAAACGCGCATGCATGAAGGTAATGCGTTGACGCATGCGCAGAAAGTTTGTAGTTTTGAGGTCCGGATTATAGATCATTCCGGATTATGGACGTCCAGATTAAAGACTTTTGACGGTATAAACCCGAGGTTTTAAACAAAAGGCTAACTGAAAAGGGCAAAAGGATTTGGGGCAACTGTTAATGCTTTTCCAAATATTTCCAAATGAAATGCTACTAGTGCATTTTAGAAATGTTAGTAAAAAGAGTGCCAGATTATTAGGTATGATTTTATTAAAGAAACAGCAGCCAACAGTAAGGCAAATGTACTTAAGAGAGCAACATTTCACTGTAAATCATGACAAACATCATCAAAACAGTGATTCATCATGTTTGATGAATCACTTGTTTATCATGCATCTGTATAAAAACTTGTGGCTCATCGTGTTTTGATACAGACATATTTTCCACCTGAGATTAAAAAAAAAAAAGATAGAGAGCAGGGGCATAGCTAGAGGGGGACATGGGGGGGCATCTGTCCCAGGGCGCAGAATCCAAGTCGCGCCAAACTGATGTTACGATATTTTAGAATTAAATGTTTTCCATCCTTGGCAAGCAGTAGGGGGCGCAAAATCTTCAGTTGTCCCTGGGGGCTGAAAACCCTAGCTACGACTCTGATAGAGAGTGTATTTTTGATTTGACATTTTCTAAATGATAAAGAGTTTACCGCCATTAATTGTACAAAGGAAGCTGAAGAAGGAGAAAAAAAGAATTATAATGAAAAGTTTATTCAAAATAATCACTATACAAAGTTATGTTTTAGTGCTAATATAGCTCCATCCAGTGAATTATTATGCCAAAAGAATGGTAGGCTGCATAGAGAGGCTGACATCTATATTGTCAGAGCAATATTTTGAAATAGTCCCTAAGCTCTTGAGAATTAAATCATCATAGCCAAATTCTGGTGAAAAGTAAAGATCTTGAACATAACTATTTTAATAAATGAAATCAGCTTATGATGTCAAACACAGTAGACAGTAAATCTGTTGCAAAAAACTTTGTTTGCATTAATAATTAAAAAGTGAGTATGTGACACAAAAATTATTGGGTTTTCATCCGCAGAGAACCCGTTGGCGCTTCGGGAAAGAACACGTTGGCGCCGTTGCATTTTTACTCGCCAAGCTCGCGATTCATCGGCGATGAGCCGAGCCGCAAACGTGATATTTTGTAAACGTGATTTTTAGTGCATGTAAATTCAAGTTAGCAGACAAACAATATATTAAGCATATGGTAGTAAAAATTCACAGATAATAAGCATGTAGATGTAAAACTAACCTGTTAAACGTGATATACGAAAATTATATTAAATTCAATTTAGCACAGAAAAGAATATATTAAGTATAAGACAATATATAAGCATTTATAAAGGAAATAAAAATTCATTTGAAAAATATAAATTAGTATTAATGTACCGACATTAACCTGTTAAACGTGATAAACAAAAACAAAAACTGTCTTAAATTCCAGTTAACACAGAAAACAATATATTCCTTACACCAGCAGTGGTTTGCTAATTTTGATGACCATTGTGATGCATCAAACAATTCTGTCATGTTAGATAATGAATAATCTTTTTTATTTCAACTCAATCATCTATTTATGTCACACATGCCATCCTCTGAAAGGTTATTGTTAGAAAAGCATTAACAATATATTATCTTATTAAAATTTTACGCCAGAAAATTGATTTATTCTCATAATTTTAGATGACAATAACCAATAATAAAAATAAAAGCATTACTTAGTAATTTAAATTGCTGGTTCTTAGAGCTGTTAATAATTAAGAACAGAACGTGAACAGCCGTGTTACAAATTAGCTTCACCCCTCCCGCCGTATTTTCTTCCTTTCATCCCGAACCGAGAACCGGCATCTATCTACGAAAATATTTCTATCTATTCGTTGTTAAAAAAATCAGAAAAAATAATAATAAGTAAGAGAAGAATAATATAAATCTGCAAATGCGAACAACGACAGTGATAACTCAACAAAATGAACGCAAGAGGAATGGTTGCAAACTTCGAACAAGCGAATAGGATAAATCCGAAGGGTTACCAGGTTTGAACTATTATCGCCAAAGTTGGCGATGTTTACATTTACCGGGTTCTCTGCGGAAGTGCTTCCAAATTATTATTACTGAAAATGCATTTAAGAGTTAATGTGTATGCATTCTGAATTTTTTTAATGATGCATATTTAATTTGTTCAAAGCATTAATCTATATTACATACTTTTTAAAAAGCATATGCTTTTGGTATGAGATGGCAATGTAAGTTATAAAAAAGAAAATTATGATTAGCAAAGAAATTTTAGAATTGAATATTTTGATGAACTGTATGCTTTATTATCTGTATATAATAATAAACATTAATATACAAGTATAATCACACACTGTTGTTATAACACCATATTTACACAAAAATAAGAACTCAAATGTAACACATTTTACCTCTTACATTATAATATAATTAATTAATGTTAATTACATTGTCATGTGTAAAACTTCTTACATTTTCAGATAAATTTCAAGAAATGTAGATGAATATATGAGAGCATGGTTCTGATTAGAATTAATTTGTTTCTAATTAGAATGAAAGGCAAGCTACCTAATTAAATACAATATTTTACTATGTATAAAAGGAAAAATTAATGGCAAATTATTAAAGTGTTTTCAAACATGTCAGTAAGCAGTATAGCAGATGTAGGCCTAAGCTTAATTCACTCAACTAGACATGGCTATAATAATTAATGATAGTTCTGCAGTTTATATAGATGGTAATTATTTGTGATTTGTTTAATACTTAAAAAGTATATTCTATGCAGTATGATAATGAAACTCCTTCCTCTAATCTTGCAATATGGAAGAAAAGGTGGTCTTGTATTCGAGTAAATGTGGTATTTGCTATTTCCATCTGATGTCAGGATTTATTTTTATATTCCTAAATTTATACTTCTAAAGCATACAGGGTGATTCAGAATTCATCATCAGTATTTGGTGGGGAGGTAGGAAATAGGAAAAGAAGATTTCACATAGGAATCCATGGGTGCATATGCCAAAATGACCCCAGTTCAATGATGGAAAGAACACATAAGAAGGAAGTAGTAAGGAAAAAATATTTATTATCTGACATATGTAACATTTCTTTGCATCGGTTTTACAGACTTACAAGAGGTGCTCGAACTGCCGACTATATGCTAGAATGCATGACTCATAATGGCGTTGCACGGGCAACCAGATCTTCTGGAATATGCCTGACATTTCTCGTATGTTTGCAGCAGCAACTGATATGTGTGCTACAAGGCCCATACCACTATCAACAGGGGTCTCATATACCATGTTTTTCATAACACCCCATACAAAGAAATTGATTGGACATGAATCTGGTGGTCAAGAAAATGGTCAACCGCGACCAATCCAGTGAACACCAAACTTTCTGCTTAGATAAGCATGCACAGCATTGTGCAGGAGTGCTGTCTTGCTAGAACCACATTCGCCAGATAATACCATCAAGGAGCCTTGTTCAGAAAGATCCGGTAACACAGTCTGAAGAAATTTCAGGTACTTGGCACCGTCCAATGGGATGGTAGTAAATACTGGCCCAACAAACAGTCACCGACAATCCCAGTCCACACATTGACAGCAAAACATTGTTACGCAGCTCCAGGTCTTTTACTGTGTGGGTTCTGATAAACCCACACATACAAATTGTGTGTGTTAAAGACACCCTCTCGAGTGAAACGAGTCATCGGTGAAAAGAACAAACGTTGGGAAATTGGGATCACTGGCTGTTCTCTGCATGAACCACTGACAATTACTGCCAGTAATTGCACTCTTTGCAGATGAAATGGATGTAACCCTTCATCATGTAATATCTGCCACACTGTTGCTTACGAAATATCAAACTGCCTAGCCATACCTCGTATGCTAGCACCAGGCTGTTCATCGAATTCCTGTAGGACAGCTCCTTCTACAGCTACTGTCCGTGCCCATCTACGCCTCCCTCGATTAACATTACTGGCAGCAAACGATCCTATTCCATACAGTTGTCGATGAATACGTGAAAACATTTGATGCTGTGGCACACGGTGGTTGGTGATGCGTGCTGCATATATTGCCTGGCTGGAAGACATCTCCCTCCTGCCACGCCGTAAGTTACATGCTTATTTGCAAGTTCATTCCACATATATTGTTTCATGTTACTTCTACAAAGACCTAGTTGAATGACGACTGACTCCACGCATCAAAACTGCTGTGCTTATGTATGGGAGTTGTGTACACATAGCGCCCTGTACGTCACCATGCATTCGTCTGCACCCATGCTTTCCTATGTGAAATCTCCTTCCTTTCCTATTCCCTAGCTCCCCAACAAATATTGATGATGAATTCTGAATCACCCTATATATATATAATTTTTCTGACCTATTAAAAAGAAAACTTTCTTTGCCTTCAGATAACTTATATTTTTCCTAGCCTTTTTACTGCTTTTATTTAACCACTCTTAAGATATGAATTTGAAATGCATTATACTTCATGTATTTTTAAAATAAACATAAAAAAATAATTACTGTTTAACATTGCGTTTTTAATATTTCTTATTGACTAATTTATGCACTGAAATTCTGTATTAAACTATGCAATATACCGGGTGATCAAAAAGTCAGTATAAATTTGAAAACTTAATAAATCACAGAATAATGTAGATAGAGAGGTAAAAATTGACACACATACTTAGAATGACATGGGGTTTTATTAGAACCAAAAAACAAGTTGTTATCGGGCCTTTTTTCTTCGAGGAAGTGCGTGATTCTGGTTTTGTATCTGCTACCGTGACGGGTGAGAGGTACGCTGATATGTTAGAGAATCGCATCGTCCCCAGCCTGGCTGATAAACACCTGCTGGAACGTACGATTTTTATGCAGGATGGCGCTCCACTCCATATTGCTAGATGCGTGAAAGGTCTCATGCACGCGTCCTTTGGTGATGATCATGTGCTCAGCCGCCACTTTCGTCATGCTTGGCCTCCCAGGTTCCTAGACCTCAGTCCGTGCGATTATTGGCTTTGGAGTTACCTGAAGTCGCAAGTGTATCGTGATCGACCGACATCTCTAGGGATGCTGAAAGACAACATCCGACGCCAATGCCTCACCATAACTCCGGGCATGTTTTACAGTGCTGTTCACAACATTATTCCTCGACTACAGCTACTGTTGAGGAATGATGGTGAACATATTGAGCATTTCCTGTAAAGAACATCATCTTTGCTTTGTCTTAATTTGTTATGCTAATTATTGCTTTTCTGATCAGATTATTGCTTTTCTAATAAAACCCCATGTCATTCTGAGTATGTGTGTCAATTTTTACTTCTCTATCTACATTATTCCGTGATTTATTAAGTTTTCATATTTATACTGACTTTTTGATCACCCGGTATTTGTAATTGTTATTAATGCATTTTATTGAATTTTTTTTAATCTGCAGTTGCTTCAAGAGGAAGTATTCTGTACTTTCTTATCTGTGATATGGCAATGGTGAATGTTATGTATCAAACTTCATTAGTGCAGTTTTTGGGTATTTTTGACATATCCCTTGAAAGGTGAGTAATTTTTTTAAACTACCATTTTTAACTATTTTGGCACAAAATTATTTGATTCATTTTTGTGAATTTATTGCAAAAATTTTCTTTAGAATAGAAGATATACCTGCTTTGGATTGAAATGCTTTCTTAACCCATCATATATAATGTTTCAATAAAAGTTTTTATGACACTTAAGAACTTATTTACATGTATATATATTCATAGTGTAGTAAAAGGTTAGAAGTAAATTAAATATTAATTTAGTTCCAATATATATATATATGTATGTATGTGTCTGTGTATGCATATAAACCTGATCTTCATAGCTCAGATTTTCTATTATGTTTATTTAAAAAATAAAGAGCTATTATTTTTCATATTGGGCAAAACTGAGCATTAATTGTAGTTAAATTTTAAAAAGCTCTTTAGTTTCAATTAGATCATTTCTTGATATGTAATTTTTAGTTAATGTAAATCCCAAACTGCATTTTGCCAAATTTTAAAGTTTATTTAGTATATTTTTCTTATATATGTTAATTTAAAGGTAATATTTTATATTATTATATAAACATATACACTGGCAGGAAAAATTAAAGTAACAACTATGAAAACTCACAAATTCACAAGCCTTGAATAATTCTGCAGCTAAGAACATAGAATTTGCACAAGATATTTTTTTATGCCTAATATATCTTCAGAATGCAGAACTGCTTACTTCTGGGAAGCAGAGAGAAGAATAAAAGAGGGAATATAATTAAAATAAAATTAGGTAGAATAGGAAAAAATTAAAATCATGTAAAATAAATACAAGGGAGAAATATACCAAGATTATTATGGAAAAAGAGTTTATTGCATTGAACGGAGATATAAAACACATGGGTAGGCTAATTTTTTAATTTAAAAGTCATTCAAGAAAAATATCTCATTAAAATGTTTTGTGGGGTCTCCTTCCCCTGAAAACTTGCTTACATTTGTAAAATTAAAAATAATAATAATTAAGAATAATAAAACATAAATTTAATAAATCCTTTTTTTTTTTTTTTTTTCAAAAACTTTTATTCATATTCTTAGTCTGATTGTTGTTTTTATGTTATTTAGGTGCAATTATTTGTATTATAACTATGTGGTATTCTGTATATTACACGAAAAACAGCAATGGGGGGTCGATGAAGAAAATCATTCTTTTAAAGAGTGGTGATGTACAAAAAATGTTGGGAATCCTTGGATTAAATTATAAAGTTATGGAGTGTTATTTTTAATTACGTACCTGAAATGTGTTCCCATAGGATTGAAAACATGACTTCTAATTATAAACAATAAATTAAACTCTTTTAATTATTAAAAATGTTTCTGATATGTGAGAAATGGCATCAATATGCAATAATGTGCATATTTCTTGCATTGATTTGCTTTTGTATGATAGCCTTGATTTTTTCTTAGCACCGTCATGTTATCCCATTCCTCTTGGGTTGTGTTCTAAAGTCTGTTCATTGTTCTTGGATGCATTTTCCTGCGACGCATTTTAACAAAGCAAAAACACAAAAGAAACATCAGGCGATTTTACAGGTATTTCCAGAAATGGGGTACGTTTTATTTGTGCTTCTGATTCTTTCTTTGCTAAATAAATCACAGTTAACTTAGACGTGTGACTACAGGCTATGTCCATTTGAAGCTCTATTTTATTGAAGTCTTTTTCCATATAAGACTGGAATTTCTTCTTCAAAATTAATTCTAACTGCTTCTTTCAGCTCAGTAAATTAATTTTAACCTTATTTAAGACTTTTTTGAGTTTTGATTTACCATTGTAATAAATCCTGCAACTGTCATGAATCCTATTGGCAACTTTTCTGCACATTCATGAAGCTATAATTTGGTCATTTTAATTAGCTGAGCAAAAGAAAATACATATTTTTTTTAATTTAATTTAGTTGCTTAAATATATTCATATCTCATCAAGTGTTGCCATGAATTTCCATTTATCAGCAGTTAGGTGTTTTTCATATAATTTTCTACAATTTGTTTTTCTTTCTGCAACAGGCTTTGGCAAAAACAGGGGAATTTTAGGTTTAAACATCTTATTTAACTTCAAATCTTAATGAATGATATTATTTAAAGTACCAGAAGCTATCTGCAGTTCTGATTTTATGGATCTTTGAGTTGGTGGATTTTCTTTCAGAATCATGGACTTCATTATCTCAATATTTGCTCGCATTTCAACTGTCTTAGGATATGGTTTTGTAGCCATTTTTTCTTTTAGCTAGATGCTTTTTCCCTCTCAAACTGAACATATTAAAAACACCTTTCTCTGAAATGCAATAACCTCAGTTTTTTTACATCACTTTACAATTTGTTAATACGAATATCTTTCCTGGGAACATGCATTTACATAACTTTTGAGACACTGTTTTAGAAACCATTTCTAGAATAAACATATTAATTTTGCATTCTAATCTAAACAGAACAATTATAGATAATTCAAATCTTTATCTCAAAATGCTAATGAGAAAATTTAGATAGAAAATGATTTCGATAAAGTGTGAATGACTCTTAGCTCAGTGTGCCTAAACAAAAGTTTTTTTTTTTTTTTTTTTTAATCGAGAATGAAATCATTGGGGATATTTGTCCATAATGCATCATACCATTAAACTGCTATTACTATCTGTACAAACCTATCATCAGTAGTTTATATAAAGTTATAATTATTAATTTTATTTATTTATTCTTGGGTATCACTGAACCTTGAGCTATATCAACTGGGAAAAATATTTAATGTTAATAAATCAAATAAGTAAAATAATACATAAAAAAATATCTAGCAAATGTTGTTATTATAATTTATTTAATTCAACTCACCAGTAGCAGTAGTATCTGTTTACCAATATCCTGTCATCATTTCCTTCGTAATTAATATTATACTATAATTCTGATAAGCTGTCAATATCTATATCTTAATATCAGAGCCTGAGTTTCCTGAGCAATCTTTTAACCCAAGATAAATTGTCATCTAAAGCAATAAAAAGCTTTGGAGATTTAAAAAAAAATCTATATATAAGTGAACAAAGTTTAAAGAAAAAACACCTGGATACTGTATACAAAGCATGAGGAAAGTCTTAAAAATTGTAATTCCAAGATACACTCAAATTTTAAAGGTGTTTATGTGGAGAGGAAATAGCACATCTTAGAAGGAAATAAACATGGTTAACATGTAAAAAATTCTTAAGAATTGAGTTAAAATAAAAAAAAATAATATAAAAAATTCCAGTCCCATTCAGCTTATTTTCTTTCATGAATAAGTCAGAATTTAGTTCCAAATAAACAAATTTTAAATCTTACTTAATAATATCCTAATTTCAATTCTTGTTGTCATAGATTTGTCCCAACATATATAAAAGTGTATTAAATAGTAAATATGTAGTTATCCCTTATGTAGTGACTGATTAATTTCCATGACTGAATTATAACATTTTGTAAAAATTAATATTTCTAAATCTGGCTGCAGTTCATGTTATCATATTAAAATTTATAATTCTTATTTTCTTTCAGCTTTGCTGTTTTCATGGTTTTTTTAGAATAGTTTCTATCTGATTTAGTAGAAAAGAAAATGTAACATTTTTCTTACTCATCCGAAAGTAGAATTTGTATCAGCAAATTCTACAAACTACAGCTAATAGTTCTAAACTTAATTAAAACTTAATTAGCTCTTTAAAATTATTATCATAAATAATCAATGCAAGGTCAATTGTTAGAATTGGAAGTATCTGCAATTAATGTTGGCAAGTTAAATATTCTGGACCCTATAAAGTTTGTTCACAAAAGTTAGGATGCTGTCAATGGATGAAAAGTATTTTTCAAAAAACAGGAATCATGCTTCTGAGTTAATAATAAGATGATAAGCTGTAAGCTATGACATGTCAAATACCTTGTCATTTGATGTAATCAATCTCTGTAATGTAGTATATATGTGGGGAGGGCGATTTAGGTTGTTAAGGCATAAGCAAGAGTTTTTAATGCATTTTTCAATGCTTTCAATGTTTTTTGTTGATTAGACATTGGTCATTGTTGCTTCGGAGTGTAAAATGGAGTGAGTTTTCTGTTTGTAAAATTAATACTTTTATTGTGAGTAAGGACTTTTTCTTAGTTATATTTTTGTTGTATATAAGCTTAAAATTAATTGCAAATATTTAACAACACAGCAGATTTAATGATAATTTCATTAATCTCATGACAGTCTTAAAATAGGATTTGCTCATTTTAGCTTAAAAGTAAAATTTTGAATAATCACCCACTTATGTGGGTATACTATAGTTTTAGTTCTTTTTAAAAATGATTTGATATTCTTGAAAGTCATTGCAAATTTTATGAGGATCTTGAAAATTGTATTTAAACAGTTCCTTTGAATACATTTGAAATGCTGATTATGATCATTTTGTATACTCCATTTGTAATTTGTTGTTAAATATTTTTCATTCTGTAGGTTTTATTCAATGAATGCAAATCACAGTTTGTTCTTTTTTATTAAACTGCATGTTAAAATTTTTCTGTTTTTAAAATAATTATTTGCTAGTTTTTTTTCTTCGCAAATTTAATAGATTTTAATTTAATTAAATTTAATTAACAAATTTATTTAAACAAACTTAATTAAGTTCATAACTAATGTGTGATGGCCATATTTTGAAAATATTAATTATATTATTTAACATTATTCAATTTTAATAGGTCAGAAAAGTCTCCCAGAGCCAATTTACGTATTGAAAATATCATTCATTATCTTACTTTTGAAGTTTTCAAGTATACTTGTCGTGGCCTTTATGAAACTCATAAATTTCTTTTCACATTACTTCTGACTATAAAAATTGATTTAGCTGAAGGGAAGATAACTCATCAAGAGTTTGAAACACTTATTAAAGGTATCAATACAAATATCTGCTAAAATTCATGTGTAACTATTACATTATTTCCATTATGTTATTGCTGATGTATTAAACTTAGTTTTAAAAAAGTTTTTCAAAATATTTTGATGTAAATATAATACTTGTCGCGTATTAAAATCACTTCCATGCCAAATATATTTGAGTTCATTTAGTGACTGAGTTTAATAGACAGTGATTTGTGTATTGCAAATTGTGATATCCATTTTAAACTTATGTTGTAAAATAGATAATAAATAATTAATACTAAAATATAATTAAAATTTAATGCCAAAATTAATCTTGTTCTGCAATTTTGATTTTTTTTTAAATTTTTATAAAAAAGATTTTTGTAATTATATGTTTGATGAAATTTTATCTTTTACAAACAATTGTTCTATCCACATCCATTTCATATTGTTCATTAACAGTTTTCAAACTGAATTCCATGAAACTGTTAGTTGCTTTTCTGATCAGCACCTTTCAATTCAAGAGATTTTCTCATAATTTTCAATGCTTTTCTAGATTTGACTGATTTTGATGTGTTTTCTCATTTTCCTGCATCACTTTTGCTGTCAGTATCTGAATTCTTTTAACCTTTTATGTAATACCATAATCAGTCAATATTGTCATCAACTGATATATATATATATCCTAAAAGTGAATCTTCATAACTGTATCTGAAACATTAGTTATAGTTTACAGCTCCTCAAGGCATCTTCTACATAAAATCCACATTTTTGAAAACAGATTTTAATTGTGTTATAAGAGATTGACTCCGTGTGTAGTGAATACTAGGAGTTGTATTTGTAGGAAGAGACACTAATGTTTTTTTTTTAGAAAGAGATGAGAGGTTTGCTGTTCAGTTTTCTTGTCAGTAAAGCTACTTTTCCATTTTTCATTTTGCTGGCCTATTTGAAAGAATATCAGTAAAAACTGTTACTTGTTGTCTATGAATTCTTGTTGCTGTGGTAAGTTAGAGGCAAATTCTTGGCTCCTTACAAACAGTGAGGTTTTGTTACTCTTGCCAATAACCAGTTCTGTCTTCTTAATTGTTAGGCCCTTACTGCATGTTAATAATACTGGAACAAACTCGTTCCTTCATTTTCGTAAACCAGCTGCTGTTTCACTTTTAAATATTAATGTGTATTCTGATAAAGTCCTGTAACACAGTCTTGTTTTGCCTGTATTAATAATTTCATGTGAGATATCAATTCATTTAGCAACTCATTTAAAAAGTCTTTTATCTAGTTATCACCTGCATGATGATGTACCTCTGCCATCTCACCAAGATACGTTTTTTGTGAGCATTGTTGGATTTCTCTCTTTCTGACTTCTGAGCCATCTGTCATTTGATACAAAATTCTATCGTAGCATTTTAGTGAATTTCAAAGTTTTGATAGTGTAAATATCTCTAGAAATATAAACCTTTTTCTTTCCTTGTTTCTTAGGTTTGAAGCGATTCTAAAAGAGCAGTTTCGACATCTCATGTTTTTGCCTCTTTTTTTCACTTCTCTGAGTCATTTAAATTTTTTTTAGGTTTTCATCAATTATAATTCTTTGCATTAATAAACTGCACAATGTTTGAGAAATTTCCAATTTAAATGCAATCTTTCACCTGCTGTACTTACAACATCAAGATCTATTAACATTGAATCCTTTTTCCCAAGCTTATGTCTTTTTGTTCATGCATTTTCAACATTTTACATGTTAAGCACACAAAAAATTAAATAAAATACTTCTTTCAGTGATTTATTCAGTTTCAAAACTCATGTTTCTAACCAGCAGAAAGACTCTCTGTTCAGTGGATCTGCCACTCTGATTACAGGCATGATGAAATCTTTTTTTTCCTTTTTCTTCAGTTTATAGTTCCTTTTGTCTTCCTTTTTTCTTCCTTTTGTCTCAAAGACTGATAATGTATGATTTTTTTTAATTCTCTGTGAATATGATGTATATATCCCAAAAAGAAGATTTTTTTTAATGTGGAAACCTTAAAAGATGGGATGCAGAGGTTGGACTTTTATTTCCTATCAGCCAGGTATTTGAGAAGGAATTATCATCTATTTCTTATCATCTTCTGAGGTCCAGTGTGGATAAAAAGCTCTGAAAACTGTGCCTCACAGGTACAGTGACTAGAGAGTAGAAAAATTTTGGCCAAGCCCAATATACTGAAATACTACATTACATGATCAATAAATTATGGTCCACAATAAGATTAATGGATAAACTATAAGCAACTTTGATAGATACATGTAGGATATTCTGTCCTTTGATCTCAGTTTTATAATTTATAATGAGCTTGATTAATGGCATTTTTTCTATTACTCAATAGAATACTAATCAATATATATTTGTTTTCATTCCTGGAAGTTTGTATGCAATTAGTGGCTGATTTTATTAACCAGTGAGTTTAATGGCAAATGGCGAGTTCTGCACTTCATTTTCACTATGGCACATAACTGTGTTTCTTTTTCATCTAATTTTGAGTTATATGTATATGGATTACATATGAGGATAATATAATAATCCTTGTAAATTGCATAAAATGAAGTTTATGTGCTGTGCTGCAAATTAAAGTATTAATCTGCACTATATAGAAATTTATAAACTTAATTTGTTATAACTTATCTAAATTTTATTTGTCACAATTATTTTTCCATTGAGTTCAATAATAACTTTTTTCTTTAATAGCTTAGAATGATTGCTAGTTTTAGATATGGGGATCTGGTGTTAAGAATTTATAACCATATTAAAAAATGTTACTGATTTTCTTTTTAATTTATTTTAAAACTAATCCTCGATTTGTGAGTGTAGTTTGAACACGAATTGAATGATTGAAGAGTTAGGTTTGGAGGCAACTTCCCCTTGATAAGTCTGTCTCCTGCCTGCTCAACAATCATTCACTTATGCATTTTTCTAAATAATTTTTATTATTAAATAATTTTTAGAATTTTATATTTATTCATGAATTTGATACTTGCACTTGATTTACATATGCTCTCAGAATTTAAATGGCATTGTAGATTAGTTCGCAACAACATTAATCATTTATTTGTTTGCATTAAATTTAATTTAAATTAACTTTAAATTTGCTTTTAATTTGCTTTTTACGAATAGAGAATGTTTGCTAAATTCAAATTTCATTCCTTGCAGCAATGGTGCAAGAGAATTATTTAAAATTAAATTTACTTTATTCTTTTGAAGCAATATATATATATACTATATATGTGTGTGTGTTAAGAACTTCTAATTGAACATACTTTGATTTTTACTTTATATTATGATAAAGAAGCATTTAGTGTAGAAACACAAGAATTTCTTGAACTCTAGCTGAGGTTTTAGCAATAATTGATAATTGATGATTTAACTTATACACAAATAGTTTTCCCTTTACAAAATCACAATCTGTTATTATAATTTATTACGATAAATTTTGCTCAAAATAAACTTATATAAGAAGAATTTTATAATTATTACCTCGGATGTAAGATCGTAAAAGGGATATATCAGTATTAAAATTGTGAATATCATGCAAAGAGTGCAAATGGTAAACTCCATTTTTAATTTTTATCTTCAATTTTTTTATTTCTGTTGATCTTTTGCAATCAGTAGATAAACTATTAACTTTCTTATATTAAGAGTGAGGAACTGAATAGATAGAGCTGTTAATTTCATCTTGGTTTTGTTCCCATAAAACAGGTTAGATTGATTCACCCATATGTAAAATAAATGAAACCCTTTGCATAGTGTAGTTTTCCTTTAGAGAAAATTTTAACTTAAACTCTTTAAAAAAAAGTAAATTTTAAAATAAACTTTTATTTACAGAATATGTTTAATTTTAATTTCGTTTATTTATTTTTTAAGATAATAATGATTGAAGCAAAAAGCTTTTTAAAAAGCTTTATTTCCTTTTAGGAGTGTTTATCATCTTTTGATTATAAGAAAAGACATGTATTTTATGCACGTAGTTTTCGTAAATCACTATTCTTTTGTCTTCTACAATCGTTTTTTAAATTATCATTGTACTTATGTTCTAGAACTAAGCAATGTTTGTGTTTTGAAATTGTTTGTAAGTATTTTAAAAATTTTTGTAATAATAAATTGTTTTATACAGGTGGAGCAGCTCTAGATCTGAAAGCAGTAGAGCCTAAAACATGTCGTTGGGTAACTGATATGACATGGTTAAATTTAGCAGCTCTTCTAAAATTAGATTACTTCAGAGAATTACTCATTAAAGTAAGAATGGTTATTCTTTTCTTTCCTTTTAAGTCAAGGATTATGCTGGATAAGAATGAAAAAATTGTGTTAGTTAAGTATCTGGTCCAATAAAAATAAATATGCACATTTTTCAAATTGCCAATGGTAACAAAAATTCTTTTCATACATTTCATTCATTTCTAACATTTAATGAAATTGCTATTCTTTTGAAGAATAGCAATTTCATTAAATGTTAGAAATATTTCTAAAATGGCAACTTATTTAACAAAAGCAATGAAGAACAGAATAGTATTCTTTTATAATTCTGATGTTAAAAAAATAAAAAAAAAAAAGGGTAATAGTTTTGAGTTTACAAAAACAGTCGGATATCAAGTAATGATTTACTGAGTTTCAAAACAGTATGTAAAGCTCAGACATGTTAATATCAACCACAGTTTTTGTAAAGGGATCTTAAAAAGAAACAAATATGTGTTTGTGCCCATATATGCATGCATGTCTGTTGTACATGAGGATAGCACAATATATTTTTTTCTAGCTCTAATCAAAGTCATCCTTTTTCAGCAGTAGTAAATAAGCAAGAAAATAAATGTGTATTCAAAAAACTACAGAACCTTTTTGGTTAAATAATCATTATTGTTTTTCATAATAACATTAACATTCAGCAGTTTTCAAACTTTTGAGGTTCACTTATGGCAAAAAACATTATCTCCATAATCTTCAACACACTTCAGCGTCAGTGCTTCTATGTTGAATGCACTTTTGTCCAACCTTAGTATTTCCTTTGTATAATATATCTACACCAATATACAAATGTGTTAGAATGAAACTGTATTATTTATTTCTTCCCAACTGTCTTTGATATAATTTTTGTTGATAAGGAACATGAAAAATTTAAGATTAACTTAACTGTTGCATTTTGAGAACAAAAACGAACTGGAGGGGGCATTAAATAGAATGTTAAATAAAACTAGTCAAGTCAGAAGAACTGAGAACTCTCATTAAAATGAAATTGTTTTCGTACACAGTATTAATATATCTTATGCAAATATATATTTACATAATTGTAAATATATATACTTATAAATGCATGCAAGATAACTCCAAAATGCTGCTAGAACTTTTTCTCCCAAGAAAACTTTTATTATAATCGAAAGCAGTAAAATAATTTTTAGTTATAAGCGAGTTGTAAATATGTAGTAAGTTGTAAGTATTCCCTTGTTTTTGAAGTGCTTGAAATGGTTTTCTTTATTTGTTCTTTATTTGTTGTTTCTTTGTTTGTTTACAGCTGCTGCTATAGTTGCAGAAACTCTGTTTGGTATACCTGTTGAGTATAATTGATATATTTACTGTATTTACTTTTTTCTTTTGTATAGGTAAAGCGCAGCGAAAAACATTGGAAAATTTGGTATGAAAAAGATGCTCCTGAAGAAGAACTTCTGCCTGATGGTTATGATGTTCTTAATTCATTTAGAAAATTGTTGCTTATTCGGTATAGTTTATTATTTCTTTAATTTTATTCTGATTCTAAAACAAAAGTGTGCCCGATATTCTTGCAAAAGTTTCTTAAAATTACAAAGGAGCTGAAGTTTGTTTAAAAAATAATTTATTTTAGCCTTTAAAAATTACTAATTTTATTTTTTGTCTTTTGCGACAGAATTGATTTGATTTGCATCATTTATTTCTTTATTTAAAATTCAAAATTATGATTGCATGCATAATAATAAAATAACCAAGTGATATCTGATATTTTTATATGTGGTATGAGCAAAAGGCAAACTTAATTGTTACTGAACTCAATTTATAATCAATTTATTAATGAAATGTAAATAGCGACATGATATTATTCAAGGAATTTTACATTTTTTACCTGTGTGAGCTTCAGAATTTCAGGTTTTTGTATTTGTCAATAAAAACAGTCTTGCATGGCTCAAAAATATAATTTGGAAATATTCCTGGTGTGAAGGGCTCCTGATCATTCTAAAGCTGGGTAGACACTAGTGGAAAGGACAAGATGGCTAAATATTTCCAGACAGATAATTTAATGATTTCCTAGTTTTAGTTGTCTATTTTTGCTGCAGATTGTGCTTTCCTGATGTTAACAGACACTGTGTCTAGATGCAGATTACAGTGATGAGAAAAAAATGAACACAACAGTGAAATGTGCATCTCAGTAGATAGAATGAATCAACAGAAGAAGTAGTTGTTACAGTTGTAGTTGAACAGTTAATTTTAATTAAAAGGTTCATGGTGAAAACTTTCTTCCCTGTTCTTGATACTATGTAAGTATTTTCACCATCTTTACCATGTTTCTTCATGGTGTAATTGGAAGTATGTCTGGCAGGAAATCAGTAGGTCCTGAGTTCAAATTTTGGCAAGTGTTTCCTGCTCTGATAAAAGTTCTAATAAGCATAAATCTTTAATATTTGAACTGACAAAATGTGAAGAGGCTTATTCACAGATTGTAAATCTGTTTTTTCTCTTCAGTGAATTCAAAACTGGTACTCCTAATGTATTAAAGAAAAGTTGTGGACACCTTTCTAATATAGATCACAAAAACCTGCATTATGATGACCTTTAAAATGAATTTGAGCATATCAGACACTACATTGCTCTTGATGAAGAGTGCTATGTCTGCACTTTTGAAGCAAAATAATTTCGGACAATGGGAAATATATTTTCCCGAATGTTGAAATTCACGCAGAGTGGTTATGGGAATGATGGTGACTAGAGATGGATAAATCCACTCCTTCAAAGGGATCAGGTAGGAACTGTTCACTCACTGAAGTGAATCAGTTCTTTATAGCAATTCACCACTCACTAACAATTTAATGAATGCGTCCAGAACAGGCATGAATCAAGAGTGGTGTGCAAAGATGGAGGAAAAGCAGAAAGAATTGAACAAGAACTGGGATTGCTGGAATCAACCAAACAGCTTACTCCCTGGATTGATTTCTTTCAACTGTACTTTTGACATTCTCTAAAAAAACCTTTCTACATAGAACAACAGTAAAATTCTGGAATAAAAAAAAGCTAAAAGTTAAAAAATAATGAAAACTAAACTCACTTTTTTTAAAGATTGCATTCATTTATTACTATAATTAATATTTTGTTGCTATTACAAAACACAGTGTAAAAATAAATTTTTAATTTGGAGGCAGATCACAAAGAATAGGAAATTGTCTGCTGACAATATCGGCATTTTCCTTTATTTATCTAATTTGACAAAATGATACCAAATATTGCTCGAAGCTCTTCTATTTGGTAAGATCTGAAATTTGTTCTGCAACCTTGAAAAAATAAATACCTTAGATGGAAAAATTTATGTTTATAAATATATACTAATTCTAAAGAAGATTAAAGAGAAATTCACAGCTTTTGATTATAAGACATTAATAAAATAAGTAAATAAATAAAAATATAATTTATTATTTTACATAACTATTACAATAATATTGTATAAAAAAAGGTTACACATAGCTATACGATGACACAGTATTCAAAAAATCGAAATGAAACTCAAAGGCACAGCTTTTAGGAAGAGAAAAGAGCAAATAATCAAGACTCTGCAGGAGACAGATTTAAAAGAGCAAATAATGAAGACTCCGTCAGAATTTTGATCCGCAGCTAGAGCAGGAGCATGTGAATAATCATGACTCCAAAGGACTCAGATCTGTGACTAGTGTCCGAGCGCTGACAGCTGGGAATCCAATTAACTAGTTACTATAATTTACGTATTTTAAACAGATCTTTGCATTGCCAGATGAGAAAAAAAAAAAAAACTCCATCCATTTGCAAACAGGGGTGATCAGTTTTGCTGAGATGTATCGGTTTATTTAATGTTTTGCTTTTAAATACTAGATCGAACACAAGCAAGCCAAAAGCAGACATATATACATACATAACACACATATACACATAAAAAATAGGTCAGAGACATTTCCAGTAAAATAATAAAGGAAAGTCTGCTAATGTTCAGATTAAGAGGAATAAAATTTTTGGCACACTTCCTAACAACAGCGTTTGGTGGACAGTTAAAGAACTGCCATTCCATTTTCGCTGGAGCATTGATCATTGGTTCAGGAAAGTGAAATGGTTGCGTAGCAGATCGTCCATCTCTAGTGGTGACCATCTGTGCATTAGAACGTTTATTTTTTAAGTCTGAAATTTATAAAAAATGTGCTTTTGTAACACAGTTGTACAGCAGCATTTGAACTAGCTGTCATTTGTTTGCATGGAAAATGACAATCTGAAGAGCATTAACTTCAAACCAATAAATAATAAATGTTGTGTCGTTTTTGAAATTTCCAATAAGGTACCCTACTAGTAGACCACAACAAAAAAAAAATAATAACTCAATTCAACAACAAGATAATAGTACCAATAAAAATTAACATTATTGCGTTGTGTATTAACCATATTAACCCTGAAATAAAACTAAGTAGTGAACTGGTGAAAGACATGAGCACAAATAAACATACCATTGACTACTGATCCAGTAAAATATGATTATTTATTTAACTCTTAAGCAATTGATATTTTAGAATAATTTTAACCAGTTAAGGAGAAATGATTGAATAAATAAGAGGTATACATTAACAAAATAAACTCACAATTTTCCTTCAAAACATTCAGCAATATCAAACATTATATTGAATTCATATTGGTAAGCATAATCATTTACTTGGTATGAGAGAATAACAACCCTCCACGGGGAGAAAAAAAAAAAAGAAAATAATATTTAACAATTTACACTTTGCAAGAGCATTCCACACAGAATAATCATTTATGAACTTAGTTACAAAAACAAAATGTTACTAATTTCTTATTGCACATTATGACTTTAGAGTTTTGTGATGAGAAAATAAACCGCAATGATACTAATTTCTTATTGCACATTATAATTTTTTGAGTTATGAGATGAGAAAATAAACCGGGTAAAATATTTAAAAATTAAATCAGGCTTTACATCTTAACAGACAACTTATTCCAACAGCGTAGTAATGAAACCCAACTAATTTCACCTGATATAAAAATCTTAACAATAAAAAAATAATTTCTCGCATTTAAAATTAAATTATTTAACTAATAATAATTTTCCCTAGTTATTCTAATTAAGTTACTTTAAACAAAAAAAATACAAATCACTTAGCTGAAACTTCACAAGAGCCTGGTTGGCGAGTAAGAGGCGGTGGAACTCCAAACCCATTTCTTGAAACCAACTTTTGACACACCAAAAGAGACGTTAGGAAAAGTTCCTGTGGCTATGGACCCAGAATTTCTTGAAAATAGTAACTTTAAAATTTTTCTTGAAACCAATTGTTGACACACCAAAAGAGACGTTAGGAAAAGTTCCTGTGGCTATGGACCTGGAATTTCTTGAAAATAGCAACTTTAAAATTTTTCTTGAAACCAAAATGCACTGAATCGATGCTGAAGTGAAGATCATACATATTTAGGAGCTATTATTGATGCTGAAGTTGAAGATCATACACATTTAGGATCTATTATCTATGCTGACGGAATTCACTAGATAAAGATGCCGAAAATTTCCTCGGGCCAAAGGCCACGAGAAACGGCTACTTGAGCCAATACATTTAAGTAAAACTCGAGAAGCAATGGCCTAACAACGGCCTTTTCATTTTCTTGAACATGATTCCAAACAAATTCAGCTGTAGGCCAGCACTACTTCACGGCAAGTGAAAACAGTCAAAAAAGTTACCTCGTCCCACAAAACAACCTGTTAAAAGGGAGAGTGCCGGAACCCCAACTTGGCACAACTCCCACCTTGCCAAAAGTTAAACCAGTTGCAACTACAGCATTCCTTCATGTTAGCAAACTCGCCAAAGCCACCACTTTGAAACCTCAACGGAAATTCTAAATCGCCAAGCCGTCGCCAATGACCACGCCTAGTGAAAGGGGGAAACTTGGAATTTCAACACCCCTGCAAGCCATCCCAACAAAAGAATGCTGAAGAACTCGAAAAAGCGACTATTTTACCGGAAAAGGGCATTTCTTCCCCCACAAGAGAAATCGCGATGAAAACGGAAAAAAATCTACTAATTAAAGCTCATAACTAAAATGCAATTAAAGTTAGGAAAACGAAAGTTATGTCAAATTAAGGAGCTAATTTTTCTGCAACTAATGATATTAAATACTAAGAAATCAAATTAATTTTTAACCTGAAAAACTGAGTTTATTACATGAAAATTTCACCTAAATCCATTGTCTGAGTATACAAGATCAAAGACGCAGTTCGCGTAAACTCGAATAGCCGAAATAGATTACACTAGAATTAATAAGCCAAATAAAAGAATATAACCAAACTTGTTGTGTAGCTCAAATTTTGAATAATTACAAATTAAAATTTTGATTTTTATGAATCACTTAATTAAATTAAATTCGCTACACAACATAAAGCAATTTTCTAAAAAAGTTGCAAATGCTTGTTATGTTATAATAAGAATTTCATAGCAACTTTATACTGTGCTACCTAATCTGATGTTTTAATGCTAATTCTGTTTTTTATTAAAGTACCAATAAAATAAATATATGTTTAACATTATTGGTTTTTATATTTCATTTCTGTGAGTAGTTGTCATAGGAACCTCAGCACACTGATTTGCCAGGGCCCCAGTCTGTTGTTAAGATGGCTGTGCTTACCATGTAATGGAACACTAGTAGATTGTTCAAAAAAAGACCAGTGACAAAAGTTAGATGGTTTGCAAGATTAAAGAATACACAAAATAATTAGGAAATTGAGGCAAACAATGAAATAGAATTTTTATATTGATAGACTTAAAGTAATTTACAGTATTTTAGAATCAGAAAGTTTTTCGAAACAAAATTCTGGTACACTGAAGATAATATTTTGTGAATTTTTTAAATTAAAAAAAAGTTATATTTAAGAAAAATCAAAGTTATACATGTTTTATATCAGGGCTTCTTAAACGTTTTTCAGTCGTGACCCCCTTTTATCACTGAGATTTTTTCGCCAGCCCCCAGGACCGCATAATATTTACAAAAATTTTGTGGGACCCCCATAACTATTGCGCAAATCCGACACGCGCATAAGTGAAACTGTCATTTTTTTCACTTGTACTATAATATACCATCGCAGTTTTAAGTCATTAACTTTAACTTGTAATTTTAAGACATAGAACAATATGAAAATTTTAAATAAGTAACAGATGAAATGACAGCGTCATGTGCAAAGCAAGGAAAATTAATGTTTATATTATAAAAAGAATGCGTCGAAATGTTTTCGTTTTTTTCTTTGTCTGTATTGTCTTATCTTTATTTATTTTCAGATACATTGTTTAAAAAATTTGGTAATTGTAAAATTATTATAATAAGTTAATCAAAACTGCTAAAATTTTTGGCAACCCCTCCCCGTGCTGAAAGTCCCGCAATCCACAGTTTCAGAAATCCTGTTTTATAGGCTAGCTTAAGCCAATATTCAAGTAAAACATTCTTTTAGAAGCTGCCAGTGCTGATTTTTCTTGCTTTTAAGAGACTAAAGTAGAATTTTATGAAACCATAGGATAATCTGGGGTCCTTCAACTAGTTCTTGTGAACCAAAGCAGTAACAATTCCCTGTTGTTTAGTTGAACTTACTAACGAAGAAAATAATTTAGCCCAAGATAGGGGGAACCTGTGGCTTACATGGATAGAATTTCAGATTTTGAAGAGTATACTCTTATAATCTAACTAGCTTTCGAACATCTGATTGATATCTCAAAAGGACCTATGCAACTAGAAATGGAACTAAGTTTAGAGAAGGCAATATTATTAAATCCCTTTTGGGTCTCAAATGGATACCCAATACCAATGGAATATCAAATATAAAAAAAAAAATGCAGTTGAATACTCAAACTTGTGCAAACATGCACATTGTTTGCTTTCCTTCTCTGGAAGTACTTTATGTTGCAAATCAACATTTCATTATGATATAAAATTCAAAATAATTTAAGATTGCTGGTAACTGATGTTCATTTAAAGGATAAACTCAAACTGCAAAACAGAAGTAAGTTATAAAGCTTGAGTCAAATATTGGACTGCTTTTAAGCAGTAAACAAATGCAAAAGTTGCATTAATTTACATTATATATTTTATAAATGTGAACTAAGCTGTTATATTTGAAAATATTAGATAAGATTATTTGATTATGAAAAAGAATGCCAACCATAATTAGAGGAGACTAGATAAAATTATCTGATTATGGCAAGGAATGCCAAGATCATTTTCTTAACATGAAACATCTTGTTATGAAGGATTTTCTAAGAAAAACTGGTTTGTATTTACATTTAAAAAGTCCACAACAAAACCCATTTTGTTAGTGCTAGGAATGAAATCTACAATGAACAAATGTTTTGCAACTTTAACGATTCGACTATTAGTGATTCATAATTTGAAAAGTAAATTGTAAATTTTAGTTAAGTGCAGCATCCAGAAATTTTTAGGTATAATGGCTGATTAAAAAAAGAGAGGCTATTAATTTGCTAACATAACATGATGCAGGAAGTGGGAAAAAAATATACTACAGATGTTTTGAACCTAAAACATTTAAGCAAAAATCAATATATCATCATTTCTGTCTGTTACTGTGGTTCAATGACTGTATCTTTACAAATCATTCTTTTTTATCAGTGAGCTCAGTTATGCATAATATGGGAAATTGCTATTTTTAATTTGTTGTTATATTATTGATAGTTATAATTATTTATATTTTTTAGATATTTTGCATAACAATAAAGAAATGATATTACTAAAATAACAGAAATATAACATAACAATAGAAAATTGGTACTACTGAATATTATAAACTATTTGAAATCTATCTATATAGCTAACATATAAATTAATTTTAACTATATCATTCACTCAGCTATCTTGAAGAGGTCATTTTCAAAACTAAAATTCATTTAAATTTTTAAAAGTTTGTATAAAAGTTAATTCACTGTTTATGTAAAACATTAATGTTTATCTCATTAAAAATATGCTATACAAAGGAGAATGAAAACAGAAGTAATTAAGAATGAAATGAGAAAATATAATAATGAAAATGTGCTACTGTAATTCATTTTAATTAGTGTCTTTATTTTAAGTGTTGTATGTAAAGTGCAATAAAAAAAAGCTGTATTTTTTTTAATTATGTGGTGAGTTTTCTGCCTAATCTGATCCTAATTCTGCTGTTTATTTCTGACTATTTGAAATAATTTGAATATCAAGCCTGTTTTCTTAGTTTAGCTAAAGTTGCTTTTTAATATCTTTCAACATGTTAGTTACAATATCAAATCATCATTTGCTTGATTTCATTCATTTCATCCATTTATCATGAGCAACTGTGTGTTGGCAATAACTGTACTTAGGCTGCAAATACAGGCTTTAATATTCTTGATTTTAATTTGCACATATGGTTTTTTCATTGTATTTTGTACTGATTTAATATAGTGAATGAAAAGACTTTTTATGAGTCCACTTATTTATAAAATTTGCAATTAAGCATAATAGCTAAAAAATATTCTGTTCCTAAGTACACAATTTTATTTAAAATATATACATAAATTCGAGTAATTAGTGGGTAAAGTGCTTCTTCATTATAAGTAAGAAATAAAAAATAAGCATTAAAATAAGAATTCTTGATGTATAAATTTTATTGGATTAAAAAATAATTATTAAATTTATTAATTTTTAGGTTTGGATATTATTTATTTATTTAATTGTTTCAATCATAATAAAATGATTCGTATAAGAGAAGATAAAGTAAAATCAAGATGCTGGTGATCAAAATATTGAAGATCTAAAAATTCTCTCATTTATTAGCTTTTAAACTTATTATTATTTAGATTTAAATTTCCTTTACAGTGTACTATATTTATAACTTTATCATAATAATTCCTTTAAGTAAACTAGACCATTGCTTTGATGACAATTTTAATGTGATATTTAATGTTATTTATGTTATCATAATAGGTATATTTTTCAAAACAAGGTGTACTTTTTAACTAGTTTCAACTTTTCTGCCTAAAAACGTAATGTATAATAATTAAAAAATTACTTTTTTTGTTTAAAGGGTGTTTGATTCATAGCTTACAGAAAGAAATGCATTAAATTGTCAACTTGTTAATAATGTATTGGGCTGCACTTAATGTTGAACAATAAATTACAATTAAAAAATTAAAACTAAAGTATGTAGTAATAGTTGTTTTATTTAGATTTATAAATTAATAACAATACTATACAAAAATGAAGAAGTTGTTTTGTTTAGATTTATAAATTCGTAACAATACTATACAAAAATGAAGAAAGCTGTTTTGTTTGATGCATTAACCTTATTGCTATAAATTCTTGCACTATATCATGTTGTTTATTTAGAATGTATACCTATCTGACTTTTATTTTTAGATCTTGGTGTCCTGATCGTACACTTACTCAAGCAAGAAAATATGTTGCTGATTCCATGGGCCAGCATTATGCTGATCCTGTAATTTTAAATATGGAGGCTATGTGGGAAGAGAGCAATCCTTGCTGCCCTTTGATATGCCTTTTAACCATGGGATCTGATCCCACTCAACAAATTGAATCTTTAGCGAAGCAAAAAGGATTAACATTTGGTGCAATATCAATGGGACAAGGGCAGGAAGTCCATGCTAGGAAACTTATGAATCAAAACATTGATGAGGTAATTATATCTTATTAGTATTTATAAGAATAGATACAAGGGTCATAGCCAAAGTAATAAAAAGTCATCCTAACATTTTTATTGGTTATACTGTATTACCCAAACAGCATATATTTATAGAGTTACTCTTGTTTTATACAAGCATGAAATAATAATTTCTTCATAAATGGTAATGTAAATAATGGATATGAAGTAAAACCAATGCACTATCATTGAATTCTTGAGAGAAGAAAGATGTAGTCTGTTTGACATGCACAGAAGGCTACGGGGTGTGTATATAGATGATACCATTGACAAGATAAGTCTGGTTATGTGTATAAAGAAGGTTAAAAAAAATAGGAAATGACCATTAAAGACAAACCATGCGATAGGGGGCCATTGACTACAATCAGAAAAGCTAATATTCAATGAATGACCGAATTGGTTTGTGTGGACAATACATGAATTTTTTACACAAATATGTCAATACTGAAGATGGAGAAAGAGCTGTCTCAGTACTTAGGTTATTAATTTTATGCCAGGAATGTAAACCTGAATTTCTTCTAAGGGCATGCTGCTTGGCTCCAAATTAAAAAATAATAATAATAATGCGTGGGTGTTAGTATTAATGCATATTTGAAGTTGGCTGTTATTTGTATACAGTCAAAAGTCGTTAATCCGGACTCTTTGGGACTTCGGCGATTCCGGATTATCGATTTTTCCGGATTATAGATCATTAGTTTAAATCTGGTAAGATGGCATACAAAAATTACAAAATTAAAAATATGAAACCGTAATTTATGAAATAAAGAACAATTATGATCTAAAGGGTATCAAAATTTACAAAAAGAATAAGCTTAATATTTATTTGTTTACTTTATTAAAACATTTCCTTCAATGTAAGTTGCTTCGTTTCATGTGATAATACTTTCTCTTTAATTCTATTAAACAGACATAATTTCTCGTTTAGTTACAAAGTTCCGCTGTTCAAGTCCTATAATTGCTGTGTTGAGAATACCGACTAATTTGTCAATCGAAATGTTTTCGTTTTCAATAACCTCTGGGTCACTTTCTTCACTATCGGAAGCGAATTATAATGACGAAGAACTTGATTTAAATCATATCAAAGACGGAGTACATCGAGACGAAATACTAAACTTAGTACGGAATTATAATCCAAATAAAATAAAAACATCTGCTCTGAAGATAAGGATAGTGTTGACAGATCAACTTCCAATCCCTGGCCTGAAATTCATAAACAGATTTCGTATTTCAAAACATACTTTCTCTTTGTAGATACAAATTACATATTAGTAAATATATATTGGAAATTCTATTTGACATAATCTTTCTAATCTATCATAATCTAATAATGACGTTTCTGCCCCCACCTCTGCCGCAGAGCAGCGTGAAATTGATAAACAGATTTCGGATTTCAAAACATACTTTCGCTTTGTAGTAAATATATATCGGAAATTCTATTTGACATAATCGAAAGTTCAAGCTTGCTTTTATAAAATTGCTCTAACAGTCTGCAAAAAATAATAAGCCGGATCCAATTCGAAGATTAAGGAACAACGCAATCTGCAACATTAACTGAATTAGATAACTTTAGCTTAGCGTATAACTCCGTTAAACATTAAACGCGCATGCGCACAAACATATTTGCAGCCGTAAGGGTCTTACGCGCTCTCGTAAACGCCTGTGCGCATGCGTGAACGTGAAGCATGCGCAGAAAGTTTGTAGCTTTGAGGTCCGGATTATAGATCATTCCGGATTATGGGTGTCCGAATTAACGACTTTTGGCTGTATTAACTTTGTTGAGTATTGCATAAGATCTAAAATAATGAAATGCACGTGATAAAAATTAAATTCACCAATTTTGAGAACTGAAGTGGAAATCTGTATAAAATTTTAAAATTAGTTAAGACTGTTTAAAAATTTATATCATAGTCACAATTCAGTTTTGCTTGGTTTATGAAGACTGTATTAGAATATATGTCCAAATATGATTAATTAGTTACATTAATCAATTTTTTTGATTTACCGTGGTGATGAAAAAATGTGTTCCATTAGTATGGTCAGTGTTGATATTGGCAGAATTAGCAAAGTAAACATTTCACTGACAATATTTCAAATACTTCTTTTTTATTTATGGTATTAATTCATGTCCATTTTGTGCAAGAAGGAATAAACAAAGAATGATCAATTCAAATATTTCATAATACAGACTTCTACTAAGTTTATTTAACCCTTTTTTGCATCATGTCCACTCTAGAAGACAAAAATTTAAATTTGTTTATTCTTCTGTTTAATGCCATAACAGATTCCATTCCTATGTTTATTCATTCTATATTATTAGAACTTTCAACTGCCAGTCATAGATGGCTGTATAGTATCACTAAGTAAAACATTGCTATTTGGGAAATGGCTGCTACTTCTGTTTCCAAGTTAGTACAATTTCTCGTAGTAAACATTATAATATTGCTTACATTTCTTATCCTGCCATTTTTTATTCAAATTAGTAATTTTAGACTTTTATTTTAAATGTCAGTTTGAGAAAATTGTGAGTGGGTAGATAAAGATCTACTGAAAAGAGAATGAAATCCAAATGTACTGCTTATCAGCAAATCACCACTGGAATGTTTTATGTTGGCAAGGAATTTCTAGAACATTTGACATTTGAATCCATAGGTCAGGTTACAAAATCGTAGCAAAAGGAATTCATCACATCGATTAAATGAAGGTATTTTGGGGGATCTATATGTACATTTCAGTTGTAGATTTACCATTTAGAAGATGGTAATGATCACTGCAAAAAAAGGCAGGAAACGATTTCAAATGCAATGATCGTAAATCGTTGGGAAGAGATTTGTATGCATGTACGTATGTATATGCATGCTGTCCACTGTAGTGAACAAACTGTAGCAACTATTTAAAGCGAAATTTGAATAAAATTATTTTTTTTATTATTGCTAAGGTTATTTTAAGTAGAAAAAATACAAACATTTTCGTTTAACTTCTCTAGATTATTTGTATGGAGCAAAGGGTTAATAATTGTCTAAAGTTCTGTTTTCTCCAAATTTTATCAAATAAAATTTCAGGAAAATTAGACATAAAAATTTCTCTTCATTTAGGAAATTTATTAATTCAAGCTTCTTATAAGAATCAGACATTTCTTATTTCTGCTTGAATATATTATATGACAATTTCACAGTACACTTGCTTGATTTCAAATTTTTCAATACACATACTTTTAGGAAAAAATTCCTTTTACTGTTATGTACTAGCTGATTAGGCTTTTTGATTGAAACTAATTGAGAAATTGTTGTTTATTGCTATGGCACTCATACAAATCTTTTAATTGCAATTTATATCATTTTGAACAACTTCCTAATTTTATGTAATTTTATCTGTTTGTGGTATCAGCAAAACTGATAAAAAAATCTTTAGGTGGAAGTTTTTATTTTTTGAAAAAAATTTGTAGTTTATCAGTCAATTTAAAATTTTATTACTTTCGTTACTGCATTATTTTAGCATAGCTTTGCAGATATATTTTTTTGTTGATTTAAATAAAATTCTCTTCTATATTACTCATATTACTAAATAAATAAAATTAGCAGCTTTTTCTATACATTCTAGACACATTTTTTTAGAATAACAGAAATATTTATTTAAATCCGAAAATTCTAAAATGGAAAGGAATCATGTTGAAGAAAGAAACTGAATACATAAAGAAAATTATTCTTCAAAGATATGTACAGTTATTATTACTTAAATTACCCTGTTGTTTATTATTTCAATCTTTACTATAGTTTCCCATGTATGTTTCCTCATATGATAGTTATTGAGGCAGCTTAAATTAAAATTAAATTACATAGTCTTTGACCACTAAGTCCACATGCATCATGATGATCTCTTTCTATACACAATGAATGACCACTAGTCCACATTTTTAGTTTGAATTTGACTGTTCTTGTTTAATTATATCACCATGAGCTATAATTGATTTTGTTAGCATCAGAACATGTCTTTATGTTTAAGTTGCTTTTAAATAAGAGGCTTATTTAAACCTTTGTCTGACATTATAGTTACTTTCAGACATGATTTGCTTCACATCTGTCAGGGGGTTTTGGACTATTTAGCTTTTACTAGATCATTTAAACCCTCATAGGTACATTGTGGAGAGGTTGACAAGTTAGGAGGTAAAGCACCCAAAAACTTGTGAGAACACTAGGTTTGCATATTGGGATGAATTTCTGATGTTAAGAAAAGATGCTTAAAGAGAAGTAAATCGATATAAATTAGCCAAAACGTCTGGGAAGGCTTCAAATTAAAAAGACACATAAATATTTTGTTGAGTGTTGTTGCTTACAAAAGATAAATATTTTGTAGCTTTTAATGTTTAATTATCCTAATATCGTTTAAGAATCAATGTCATAATTTACATGTATTTTAAAGTGTGAAATTTTATTAGCTCGTAATTTTAATAGGGCTTTTTTTAACAAATATTGTTAAAAAATAAATAAAATTTAGTAGTGCCCATTTTAACAAATATTGTTAAAAAATAAATTAAATTTAGTATAGTGCCTTTAATCATTATGTATAAATACATGAATGACTTAAGGTTATCTAACTACCTAATTTAACTACTTACAACTAACTGCTTACCCTTAAAAATTATCTCTGCATATTAGCGAGTTATTGCCTTTCATTAACTCTTACCGTGTCACAAGATAAAACACAAAAATGTAAAAATTTTCTTGTAAAACCTATTCTTCGCATCTAGTGAGACTTAAAATAATACAAAACAACTTATCATCTCTGGTGCTTTAGTTGGCTTATTAGAACCTTAAAGTATATTAACTGAGTTACATTCCCCCTGGAACTCTACACGAAAGCTATGACACTAACTGCGTCAGACATAGCCCAGCTAACTTTCAAAACTTGCAACTTGCCTACATAACCATGGCAGGCCTTTCAGGTTTGTTCTGATCAGCATGTCTCTCTATAGGCAAGCA